TAGTGAATAACTGACCAACAGAGAAGCAATTTTTCAGCCCCATCTTATTGGAGAGCTATATGGAAAAACCCTATTTTTCAATGCTAAAAATAGACTTCGATTTGATGGTTAGACTTGTTCGCCGGGAAATACGGTAACTCGCAGTATCAGTCTTAGCCATGAAAAAAGCTGGAGGACATTAATGTATGGAAGTATTCCACAGTGTATAAAACAGTGTTCCCTTAAATTGTTTGATCCCAAATTGAAACAATATTTATTAGCGAAATATAATGTGATGCAATAATATGCAAATCTCAGTGTATGCAGTCAAATTCTTACAATGGATATGAATTCAGCATTCTATAGCTAGGCTTCTGTGGAAATTATTAAAGATGCTGTTATATTATTACGGTACATATACTCTGAAGTGTTTATATAACGGTATACTGAATTGCCTGATTCTTACGAATTGATTTTTTGTCAAAATTACCAAATTCCTTCTCATATATCTCTCTTTTCGCTGTTGTATTCCTGTTGATAATTTTTTATGATTTGCATTATTATGTGATATTCTTTTATCTTGTATTTTTTACGGTCTTACTACTTACTGAATACAGCGCGAAACACCGCAAAGAGCGCAAAACAGTGCGAAACAGCGCAAAACAGCGCGAAACAGCGCAAAACAGAGGGAAACAGCGCAAAACAGTGTGGAAACAGCGCAAAACAGCGCGAAAGTGCGCAAAACAGAGGGAAACAGTGTGAAGCAGAAAAAATTTTTGCAATGAGTTCGGGGCACCTTGTTTTGAGTTGGAGTACCACGGCAGCAAATTAAAAACACAAACCAACGTATGTAGCCAGTAATGCTGTAATGACAGGTCTGCCCCTGCTGGTGACACATTTTGGGTACCATAATTTAGAACATTTTCCATATGGATATGGTTGGCTTTAGGGTTAGGGTTAGGTAAAAGGGACCTCCAGAAGTATGTGCACCAAGATGGCGCACAACCTGAAAAGAGTATGTGTGTGTGTGTAGCGGATTCAGGTTGTGCGACATATTGCTGCACATACTTCTGGAGCACCAAAAAGGTAGATAAAATTTCGCATGGTGACCTATAATCCGGTACATATCTTGTAAATATGCCGGAAATAGCGCCATAAAACCATGGCGAGAGGCGCCGTGGTTCTTTCGTGGCAGGAGGTGGTAATGACTACGTCTCCTGTTTTGCGCTGTTTCCCTCTGTTTTGCGCTGGTTTCCTTCTGTTTCGCGCTGTTTTCCTCTCTTTTGCGCTGTTTCGCGCTGTTTCGCGCTCTTTTGCGCTGTTTCGCGCTGTTTTGCGCTCTTTGCGGTGTTTCGCGCTGTATTCAGTAAGTAGTAAGACCCTATTTTTTAGTCTCGTTTTAGACTTTTTGAGGAATTGATTTATTGAAATTATGCAATTATGATCCATGCACCAGAGTGTGGTAATCCTAATAGGAATTTTCCTTAGGGGTTGGTCGACCTTGAAGTCTTGCTCGCCCCCTTTCGAATATTATATTTCATGATGATTGGTTGTTTGTTTGTTTATTCTTACTGAAATATGCACTTAATCAAATATTCGCAAATAAATCATTAAATATTTGTATCGTTCAAGCCAAAGTGTTATGGACAGAGATAATTAGTGACTGCTATATTGCTCAGTCTGGCATATCTTACTTAGGTTACATTCTGAGAGAGATGGTGACTCCTTGAACCTTGCAATTGATTTAGCCGAGATTTCTATTTTTCCAGCGCTCAGACCTCTTATCAATATATATTGAATGACAATACAAACTTGATATATTACAATTATATGGTCTAGTTTGTTGAGCTATGTTTGATTTGTGGTTGTTTGTGAGCTGAACTGGTAAAGTCGGAGCTAACCTGTAATAGATAAACACATTTTTTGTCGATTTATTCTTGCTAACAAGCACTTTATAATTTTCATATCTCAGTTTAGTAAGAGTCTGTTAGTACGTAGTATGAAGATGAATTCACAAGTAATAAACCAGGCTAGAGCAAAACAGTCAGACCGTCTCATGACATCATATGACAGGTTCAAAGAAAAAGGGTTTCTTTGCGATTTCAACATCAACGTTGGTGACAAATCATATCGAGTGCATCGTACTGTCTTGGCAGCCTCTTCAGAATACTTTGAAGCCATGTTTTCAAGCAACTTGAAGGAAGTTCATGATGGTCACGTTAATATGAAGGATGTCAATCAGGATGGGATCGCACAATGCATAGAGTTCATGTATAAAGGAAAGGCAGATTTGAGAATGGAAAACATTCAGCATATCCTGCATGCTTCCAATCTTTTACGAATGGTGGAATTGACAAATCTTTGTTTTCAATTCTTGGAAATAAACATTTCCCCAGTAAATTGTCTCTCTGTAATCAACTTGGCTCGAATGTACGATCACTGTGATATAATACAACAAGCCGAACAGGTTGTGATCGATAATTTTGAATCTGTTATTTCTTCTGAGATGTTTCCATTCGTCACCAAATCAGATCTCTTGCGTTACATGAGAAATGAGACTTACCAAACATCATGGAAAGCTGTGGTAACATGGGCAAAAAGAAAAGATAACGTAGATGTTTCTGAACTTGTCAGCATCGAGCAATATCCCTTTAAATTTCTTCTACAAACTGTCCTTGAAGAACCTATTGTTAAAAACAATAAAACAGCTGAGAAATCGGTAATCACTGCATTATTTTCTGATGTCAAAAAACTTGAGACAAACCTTGATATTGATAACTGTTTTATCTTGAAGAATCTTTCTGAAACCAATCAAATTCCTGAACAATCAACATTTAAGGATTCCATTAATCGATTCTTGGAGACGAATTTTGAACAAATTATCAAGAAAAATGAATTTCTTGATATCAACAAGGATGACATAATAAGACTTTTTAAATCTTCAGGCACAAAGTATTCTTCTGAGGCTGTCAAATACGAGGCGATGATGAAATGGGTGAAACATGATGTCAAAAATCGAAGAAAATTATTTCAGGACGTGTTTAGTTTCATTAAACTTAAAGATTTATCTCTTAAATTCCTAAAAGAGACGGTTCGACTTGAACCTTTAGTAAAAAAATCAGAGAAATGCTACGATTCTCTTGTGGATGAATTATTTTCGAGAGCAAATGAAAAAGTTGTAGAAAAGTCAAAGGCAGATAAACCCTTGGCTTTACCAGATTCAAGCTCTTCAGAGGATGATGAGGAAGGATCTTCTGCCATTCGAGGTGCATCGGGTTATGACACTGTCAGTTCCACACCACCTAATGGTAATAGGAGTGAAGGTTTGTCATATGTTAAATACTGAAAATTAGGGATAACGCGCCTTCCCAGTCAGTTTTCATGAATCAGGGTTCTCACACTGAATTTGGAATATCTCTTATCAAAACTTTCATTTTCGGGCTAAAGATTCGCTGCAGATTATTGGCTATCGGCGAAAAAATACGATAATATTGAAGACCTTTTTTATGTTCAAGTGCATTAATAATTACAAAACTAAATTGCACTAATTTCACAAGCCCTGGCTCTCCAAAACGTATCTATGAATAAATTATAAATTCTATAAAAATAGTAAATTTCAATTCAACTGATGTCTCTGACCCAGGTGTCTGTTACTGAATAAATTCACGACTCGAAGTTGCCTATGTCATTATTGTTCTTTAATTCTAGTCTCAAATATGTGTTACATTAAATATTTTTAGAAGACGTTAATTAATAAACAAGGCCACATACTTGCATCCACTGTAGATATGTTAAAAGGCACTTTATTTTAAAAAAACATATTTTCCCTGTGAGGCATTGCCTACCTAACATGTTTGAACCAGTGATGTGTAATCTGTAATGCCATCTCACAGTTAAATTTAGCGCTTCAACTTCTAGACCAGGGTGGTCCAAACCCAGGCCCGCGGGCCACGAGAGGCCCGCTGCTTCATTATCTGTGGCCCGCATTGCATTTGCGGGAGGGTAAACAAAAATTCGTATTTGGTGTTGTTTCGTCATAATAATTGCCCAAAAAAATCTTTCAACATATTGTTACATCACTAGTGTCACTGAACTGACTAGTGGTATGGCTAGCTGAGGCAACTGCGAAGTTGGATAATGTGCTTGACTAGTTTAAATTGTTAACTGGCTTTCTATGTTTTTGGTCAGGAACAAAAAAGGGCTCAATAGAAAATTAAAAATCTATTGAGGAATCTATCAACCTAGGTCGGCTATGCCTGATAAATAAATATTGTTTTATGGGCGGACAATATAATTCCTGCCGGGTGGTTTATCGCAACCAGCCTAAACAGTATTACAAAAAATGTCAGAAAAGTTAGGTATTACCCTCCTGTATCTCAAATTTGGAATAAAGTTCGGTAATCAGGTAATCTGCAGTTATTTGTAAGTTTTTTTGTAAACATGAGTTTGAAAAGAAAGCTGATCAATTCAAACAGATTTCTGACTGAATATAGGAGAGGAAATAACCCAATGCTTGCTTGATATGTGTGCAAGTTGTGTCGGTGACAATCTAAAACGGCATTTTCTCTGTTATGAAGAGTTTGAAATCTCACACTAAATGTAGATATTGTAAGATTGTTGCACATTTTAGTGAGTTTTTTGGTGGTTTTGCATATTTTAGCTTGATAAATGACAAATATTGATCAATGTGCTTGGACAATAAAAGTGTTTGTTTTGTATTGCACTGTTGACTTATTCTTGGCACTATTGTGGCCCATGAACAATACAAAAGTAATAGCGTGACCCGCGAGGCCGACAAACTTGGACCTCCCTGCACTAGACCATGGCATTGTTCCAAAACTCAAATAACCACACAATAGCTCAATTACATCTAGGTACCATAATTTTCATTGTTTTAATTTATAATTTTTGCATATCATGGTACATTTTAAATATCATTGAACCCCTCAATCACAAGCATTTCTGCTTAAATAAGAACAAACATTACTCTTGCTACAAGTTTTGATTTTATTTTTATCCAGGTGCTGAATCTCAGTCTTCAAGTCAAACTACTTCTGGTCTAAGAATCATCAACCAACAACCGTCTGGTGGGAAGTGGTCATGGTATTTCTTGCGAGAATCACTGCCAGGATATGAAGTAAAGGGGACTCTTGTCATCACCTACTCATTTCCTGCTGGAAGCCTGATGGTAAGTTCTGAAGCAAATTTAATTTTTGATTTGAAAATAAATCATAGTTTACTGGAATCAAGATTCTTAATCAATAAGGTTTTTGTTCTTAATATTAATCCCCATTGCACATCAGCATATTTGAACATCGATTGATTTAAATTTCTTTCCTGAGTTATTTAAATACCAGTGCAATAAATGAAGAATCACAATTTGGTAAAAGTGATATTTAGGGATGCCCATAACCTGATAGTTTGCCTAGAATTCTTTGGTACAATTATTGTTATTGTGAATTTCTTGAATCGATTCATTGAGGGGTCACAAATATATATCTTATTGAGCAATTGAGAAGCAAAATCATTATATATGTCAAAATTTACTAAATACGACACGATGTAAACAAATAACGTGGATGGAAAATAGAAAATTTCCTGTCATACCCTTTAATTTCATAAATGCTCCAAATATGGTGATTTTGATATAATGGCAAAGACATCCCTTATAATAGTACTGTCATGTTACTTTTTTATGAGATGCTTATTCATGCCTTTTGCTCGGAACAAGGCCCTATACAAGCAGTCACAAATTTTTAGTAGGGTGGTTCACATAACCACTGGTCTGTTACAGCCTCCTCCACCATCAAGTCCATTCTTCCGAAAACGAATAACTGGCTAAACAATCTCTTACGTGTTATAGACTGGTAACCGGATGAGAGTCTGTGATTCGCCACTTGATTAAGCCGTCTTATCAGCTTTTCTCTCCCCAAGATAAATATGTTAATTCTGTCATATCTTATATTTAATGAAATTTGAGCTATCAGACACTGATATCTAATGATATTTAAGGAGATATATTATTATTTCGAATTTTCTGGTTCTGCATCTCCTATCCAATTTATTTCATCCTGGGTGAGGTGGTTGGCATGGATTTGAACCGAGATGTTCAATATGTGATGTCAGCTTAGTTCAGCCCAACACTTTAACCATTAGGCCAACGGTTTCAAATATTTTTGTTTGTGCAGCGCTGAATTATTAGGGAAAAAACTGCTAATGACGCAATAATGGAAAAAATTTGAATAAAATTCAATATTGTGATCATTAATGTGTACTTCATGTTTGTAAACATATACGCCTAATGTCAACTTTTCTCTGCCTGATTTTATTTTGAAACTCTGTTTAACAAACTCTGTTCAACAGATAAATAAACTGCAGCTTGGGAAATTGCAGCAAGCAGTGTCTATCTCTATTGTTACGTAACACTAGTCGCTGCGGTACACCCTTTGGTAACAACTGCGTTAGGCCATTGCACAGTCCAGAAGCTTGAAAGAAGTATTGCTAAATGTTTGCATTCACTCACATGAGTTATTGCTTCTTATGGAAATATACAGAATCAGGCAGTATGTTGTATAATGCTTATATGGGTTGACTCTGGTTCATGCTTTGTCCATCTATGATTAATTTAAACTGGTATGCTGATTGAATTCAGTTCTAATGGAAATCAAAGCTTTGTTATTGAGAAAAAGTTCGAATATAGAAGCCATTTGTGCAGTAAAATCATAACATAGCCATATATAGATCATGCTTGTTGAAACTTGAGTAATATTAAACTCGTGGTTTGTTTAAATTTAATTTGTTTATAGAATTTAGTTCTTCTATGTTTAATTTAGAATTTGATTCAATGGTGCAGTAAAATCATGACAAGCTAAATATTTAGCGGGCTTCCTTATAATTTCTGATTTCAATGTTTAATTAAGTTGTTGGGTTGTCAAGTTGAATTAATATATTAGAAACACCAAGTATTTTGTCGGAAAATTTTTAACTTCTGCTAAACTTTCATAGATATTCTGATATTTATATCAGTTTAACAAACTCCCAGGTATGAGAGATGATTAGTTTTGTTTGTTTCTTCAGGGGGTTTCATATGAAGCTCAAGAATTCACTGAATATTTGCCATGGAATGATGGACGGATATGTCTCAACTTACTCCATCAAGCATTCGATGCAGGATTGATTTTCAAGATTCAGGAAGTTGGTGACAGAAGAGGAAAAATTGTTTGGAACGATGAGTTTCCTCATAAGACTAATAAAACTGGAGGACCCGAGAAGTAAGTACTTTGTGTGTTTTATGTTTGGTGGGTATTTACTTCCTAAAATGTTAGGAAATAGGAAGGAATAAAACTGATTTTGAAAATTTTGTTATCCCTTCGTTTTGCACTACATCACAGTTCTTTTGGGAGTCCAATTTTAACAGGATATATTGGATAATAGCGGATAAAATAGGGTAATATTGGATAAAATAGCTTTCTAAAAATTATTTTGTTTTATCCAGTCGTTTTTTTCTTGTCTTTGCTCAGAAGAAAACTGAACTCATCTATCTTTATATGAAGATGATTTACTTCATTTAAAGACACTTAATGTCTCTAAATTACCAGGGTCTGATCCAAAGATCCTAAACAACCACTCAACCATTAAGACTACGACTTGTATATATTAAATAGATTAGATATCTAAATTATGGTATTGGTACCAATGGTATTGTTATACTTCACCCCGAGCAAGGCTCCAGACAAGCAGTTTTGACAGATTTATCAAATCAATGGTATTCTTATAATTCACTCTGACCAACTATGTTAATAAAACTGCCTGGTCATCGTGTACAGAAGAATATTTGCTATGACTTTATGAGTCAGCATGATTTTCATTTTCTCTGAAATTGTAAGGACCTGTGACGGGAGCAGAAAGCGAAGTCAATTTTTACATTTTTATGGTATCGAGTTCAAAACTAGAGTCCTATTTTCTTAATTTTAGACGTTTTAATTTTGAAGCAAAAGTCGAAATTTCTGACATACATTAAGTTTTATCAAATTTTTCAACAGAAACTAAAATGGCCTCTTATGGTAAAGTTAAATGTTTGTCGAACCATAGTTTGTAGCCCCATCATGACTTTTTTTGATTTCTCAGACGATATCTTAGTACTCCTAAAGTAAGTGAACCAAGATGGCGGACACGGGAACATAGTATGTGTACCAGGTTAGGGTTAGGCTATAATTTCAGAGTCACTTGGCTAGTCCCCGAACTCGTAATAGAACTAAAATAAGGAAAATTGCAATAAAATTATGGTCTTACCCAAACCTGTTACACATACCACATTCCGGTGTCCACCATCTTGGTTCACATGCTTCAGGAGCGCCGAAATTTTTTTATTCCTAGAACCCAATTCTGTATTTCAATACTCTCCGAGCAGGATCTGTTATTGTTAAACAGAAAACTTACCAAATTTCCATTATTTTTCTAGGAACATGCCCAAACAGAGTTCATGAATTCTTTTTTATTTCAGCAATGGATATCCAGATCCAAACCATTTAATGAAACTGAAAGAAGCATTGAGGGTGAAAGGATTCCAAGTATGATATATGGGTGAGATAATTTTATTCATTTGACACTCTGGCAAAATATTGCTTTGCCCACTTTCCCTAACATGCATCCATATGAATAGTCTTAAATTCCTGAAATAACAAGTTAGATAATCATCACTTGAAACTGAATTGAGTAATGAACTTGCATTGGTATCGAAGGTAGATAAAGGGTTGCTTGTTTACATGAAATTTTCTCCGATTCTAATAATTCGATTTGGAAAGCCCAGCCCTAAAGACATCATAAAGTGCTCTACTGTCACATATGATGTCACAATAACATGATTTTGAAGCTTTTAAAATGCAAATTCGAAAGCGCAATCTTCAATGAGACACTCTATCTGCTGGGCAGTTTTTATTGACAATATAGGTTCAAGGTCCCACTTTTACATCCACCCAATTCTTCTGAGTTCAATCAGTTGCTCTGTCATTTCATTATTGAAGTGGTGACAAAACAGTGTGTAGGATATGGTGATATTAATAATATAGGAATAAATGGTTTTTTATTCCACGTTTTCATGTTTTTACCTTCATACAAGGCCTTGTGTAAGCATCCAATGATATGTAAATGACTAATATTTTTCATAGATACTGTAATTTTACCAGTGACAAAAAATTAGCTCTGTAGCTTGTAGGAAATATCAAGCTTGGATAGATAAATAAATATAACAAAAACATGACTCCAACAGATTATGTCTGAATGAGCTACCGTATTATAGTCAGTGTATAGATTAATAAATTTTAGTTTTATCTTATTGCCTCTTATCAAAATTATATTTTCACTTTTCCTTGCAGTAAAAATTTTCTTCCTCTTCTCAGTTTCCCTTCACATTGATCCGAAGATGACGAGATCCAGAAAGATTTCCTACAACACTGATTGTACTGTTCCCTGCATAGGATACTGAAATTGCTTCATTAAATCTACATCAAATGCCAAAACAATATTACCATTGCAGCCATTGTGCAAATTATGTTCTGATCAAATATTACAAATAACAAAGTTTCATATTCAGAATTGTATTCGTGCCATTTGTGTAAGGCGAATTGACAAATAAGTAAAATGCCCTATGCGGCTGAAGCTTAGGACTTAACTGCGCTGGCATCGTCGATTACACATTGCAGGTTTAAATTCCACCCCCTCACCTCTCCCATGGTCTATTAGATTGAGTAGGCAAAAAGAAAAGATTTTGAACCTTTCAAATAAATAGTTGCTCCTCACATATTGTTAGATATCAGTGACTGCTATCATATAGTTTGATATTTTTGAGGCATTTTTTTTATAATTCTCTAAATATTCCTTTTTTTTCCACAGTCTACAACACTCTGGGTGAGGTAGCGGGCATATGATTGAACTTGGGTTATTTAATCAGACATCCCAACATAGTCGAGTCCAAACACAACGCTAATAGGATGATTGTATTGCCAATATATTTAATTTGGTGGAATCAATCAGCAAAACGCTATGAATTCGCATTAATTCTTTATTAAATATAATATGTTAAATAAACTGGCATTTTTAAGTTAGTCAAGATATCTGAAAGTGTTTTGACAATTTGTGACAGGTTATACCCGAATGCCCATTGGTTCGTACTTTAACAAAAATTAATCAAGTATGGTTCGATTTAAAAAATGTCCAACCCAAACATGTGTTATTGAGCTCATGAATTACGCTGAATAAATTATCTGTATAAATATTTTTACCCTGGGTCCTAATTGCTATCCACAACTAAATATATTATTAATCTAAATTTCAATGTTGTTTCTCATGCATTTTAATATATTACTTTTATGATATATTGTATAATTTTTTCGTAGGTTCCCCGATTCTGCTGTAAATAGATCTATACAATTTTCTGGACCTTCTAATTGTCAACCACCGCTGTATGTATATCAATATCCAATAGTATTTTTATAATCATGCAACCAAGCCAAGTTCTGTATAATATAAGGTACTACCGAAGTATGTGGACCAAGATGGCCGACACCAGAACGTAGTATGTGTACCGCCATAATTTCAGGTACAATTACTACGGGAGTCACTTGGCTAGTCCTCGAACTTGTAATACTAAAATAAGGAAAATTATGGCTTTAGTAAACAACTATGTTCCAGTGTCCGCCATCTTGGTTTACATACTTCGGGATTATCTAATATAAAGCATCTGACAATATACAAATCAAGAGTTCCAGCAAAATTATTTTTGGAAATTTGTGACTTTGTATTCTCTTGCACATCAAAATTAATTTGGCTATGTGCTCAAGTGTATTCTATATTTTATATAAAACAAATTTAATAATAATATAAACGAATGTGTTAATATTTTTATAACAATTTATGCGACCAAGCCAATACTGTATTTACAAACTATTAAGAGATCTGAAGCAAAAATACCACTGAGTTATTATTCCAGAAAATATTTTTTTATATGTTTCAACTTTATAAATAATTTGACATGCATTAATGTGTTTTTCGAACCAATTCGATATAAAGAATGTGTGATCTTGCAAAATTGATTATCATGCTGAAATTGTTTCAATATGGGGGACGGCAAACTTTTTCACTCCAAATGTATAATACCAGTCTTAGTAACCAAGTTATTACACTATGGGTGATATGGGGTCCAATTGTGAGTAATCCCGTAGTGTGTGCACCAGGTTAGGGTCAGGCCATAATTTTATTCCAATTTTCCTTATTTTAGTTTTATTACGGGTTCGGGGACTGTCTGTGTTAGCCAAGTGAATATCCCCCCTGCCCATAGGTTTCAGTCCATCTGCACAACTTGATGTAAAGTAGGCAAATAAAATTAGTTACCTCTATATTGGTACACATACTTCTGGAGCGCTCAGTTGTGTATAAAATAACAAAGTCCTTGGTATGGAGATTTCTGTCTTCAAACCAATAATAATTCAGCAAATGTGCTTTCAGTTGACTTTTTAATAATATAGTTTAATAAATGAATCTGAATTTATGACAAATTTAAACATTTTTATTACTGGATAAAGCAAACATGAGTATCAGGAATGTCCAATCTGATTCGAATAAATATCCAAGAAACGTGTCCTTTACTAAGCATTAGGAATATGTTCAAAAATACCATTTTAGTATGTATTTAAAATATCGGTACTAGATTGTTTATTCGGCCCTTTTCTCGGGGGTGTGCAGCCTTTAGGGCCAGATAGAAATAACTGGGTGAAACTGCGGCTGCAGCTTTATATACATACAGTAGTCTTTCTTGTAGTTTCTTGCAGGCACAAAAATTTTGGTTATTGATCTTATGACTTGAGTAGTTCGCTTCGCACAGCTGTTGGGCCATTGCAACGTCATAGGCATTGATAATGAATTGGACTCTAGTATAGGATTCGTAACGTAAAAGGACTGAAATTACGAAAATAAAAACTCGTTTCAAATATGGCACCACAATTTTTCCTTCAGGGCTGCATTTGGCACGTGTGCTGCAGGTTGCACACCCCTAACATACACAAAGAACTTGTATTTACTATATCTAATGCTTATGGACTAAGACAAGACAATTCGACCATATAGCTTGCGGTTGAACTACCATTTACCATAATTAATTCTGAAGGTATCTGAACAGCGAGGAAATTACCGAAAATAAAAATTTTATTCCACAGTATGATAATAACTATAAAATAAAAAAACAATTCACTGCTTTTGTCCAGAAGTAAGACTAGCTATAGAATTCCACATACATAATGTTCTATTCAGTTCGATATTCATTTTGAAAACTACACCAGTTCGAATTTGTACTAAACCATTGCCTCAAGTACAGGGAGACAACCATGACCTGTGGTCTTTCCAATCTCATGTATCATCAAATGCTCAAGGTGGGGAATTTGGAAACATCAGAATTGACATTGGAAATAATGCGTTCATTTGAGTGCCAACCAGAACCTCTTTCGAGTGTTTCTTGTCTAGATCAAAGATTTTTCAACTTTTATTGATGAGAGGAACCCCAAGATACCCATCAAAAGCTTAAGAACCCCTGTGTAACTGAATATACATCATAATATGCCAATCGAAAAATGTGAAACAGAAATTTGATGTAGAGTAGAGCTAAGATCTGAAGCCCGAACCAGAATTTCGAGCCGGGCCTGGCTGTTCTATCACTGACTTTTTTTTTAAATGGGGCGTTTTGGCCACGAGAGACCGTGGTCTGCAAAAAAAAACAGAAGTTGCCTCATCAACACGACACTCTTGCAATGACAGTTCAGGGATCTCCTGTTCAAAATATGAAATTTCGGGTTTGCTTCAGGCTCGGGCCTGCAAATCCAGTTAATTAGTCAGGCTTGGGTCGGGTTTCATACCCACGGGCCTGGGTCTGGCCGGAATTGATCTTACCTCTAATGTAGAGAAAATGGAAGTCTCTCATGAAACACACTTATTATATTATATCCGTGTATTAATAATAAAATAGACCAGTGCTACTCAACTATTTTTACCGGAGGTCCGCATACAAAACTTCAAAAATATTTAAGTCCGGACTTTCCAGACATTATATTTCGGCATCCTCAAGCACAAGATTCCTCGGCCGACTAATGATTATAAGCTAATCAAGATAGTTTGTTATCGCGTTATAGTTCTTTTCATATATATTTTTAAATCTATAAAAGTGATTTTATAAAAGGAAACTTCAAAAGTGGGGCTAATGATCCAAAATGAAGAATTATGTGCGGTCTGAATCGAATACCCAAGAGGTCCGGATTCGGACCGCCAGTTGAGTAGCCCTGATATAGACTACAGGATTTCAATGCAAACCTGCAAAACCCCTGGACAGCCTACAGTCTTGTGCAAAGTACTTTGTATGAACCAGATATATTTTCTCAATACTGAGTCTCAATAGAAACACAAGGAATAACAAGAGTAAGGGGCGCTCCGGAAGTATGTGTACCAATATGGATGTAACTAATTTCGTTTGCCCACTTTACATTGAGTTGTGAAAAGGGACTGAAACCTATGGGCAGGGGGTTCACTTGGCTAACACAGACAGTCCCGAACTCAAAATAGAACTAAAATAAGAAAAATCTGAATGAATTATGAACTTGGTACACACATACTACGGGAGTACCCTTCGAGGGGACAAACTTCCTCCCTATTGTAATAAAATAATTGTCTGGGGAGTAGTCTTAGGGGGATTCCCCTCATGTATAACTGTCTTTTCACTAGTAGTATCGCCAGTGAGCACCATTTTAGATTCATTCTCTGGTTTTTCTGTCTTTTCAGAATCTTTCTGTTCAGTGGTCATAAGTCTTGATCCAAATGAACTCTTAGATATCATCAGCATTTCTCTTTAAATGTCATTTTCTGTTTGCAATCGGGATAATTCTTCGTAATCTCTGAAATATTGCTCATCATCAACATCCGCAGCATGCCTCATCACAGCAGCCATCTCGTGGATCTGAAACATGGAAAGATAATTCATGTCTTTTGAGATAAAACTGCCACCTTTTTTGTTTTGAAATAACTTGAACCTTTAGCGCCACTGTGTGACTGAATTATTTCATTTGAATAATTATTGTCAAACCTCCAGCATTACTAATGACAAGATTGCCAAGTAAGAAAGGTTCCACTCCTTCAAACAATAGTAGTTCATCACTATTGTTTGATATCAGTGGCAAATATATAATAAACTGAACTTGATTAATCAAGATGCCTATTTCAGAAATCATTTTAGTTCTATTACAAGTACGGGGACTGTCTATGTTAGCCAAGTGGATATACCCTCTGACCATATCTTTCAGTCCCTCTACACGACTTGATGTAAAATAGGCGAACAAAATTAGTTACCTCCATATTGGTACACACTGTTTCTACTCTAAGATTATACATAAAAATGCTCAATGTTATGCAAGGTTACTCCCACAAATTGCCATTTTGTGGAAGTCAGATGGTTAATCGTGCATATATTTACAGCAATTACGAAGGATATACCTAACGAATTTAGTTGTGGGACTAATAACATGTTCTTTTAGTTTTACATCAAAACCAATACCCATAATCAAATTTGCACTAAACGGAAACAAGGGACCAGAATTGTGGGCCAGGGTAACTGAAATTGTGGGGTAACCAAGCTGTCAAGCACTACGACATAATTGAGGGATAACGATAAAACTGTATTCCGACGTAATTTTGACACTTTGGCAGTCACATGATTGGCCGATATAAATCGGTAAAATTAGCGGATACCGATCTTTCGAAATTTGTGAAAAACAGGGTCGATATATCGGCAGGCCGATGACGACCCTACCTCTGACCATAAATTTCAGTCTCTTTATACAACATGATGTAAAGTAGGCAAACAAAATTAGTTACCTCCATATTGGTACACACTGTTTCTACTATAAGATTGTATATATAAATGTTCAACACCACCAAGGTTACTCCTACAGTTTGCCATTCCACAATTTTGTGGTGGTCAGAGGGTTAATTGTGCATACATTCACAGCGATAACAAGACTTTTAGCAGGGTATACCTAATGAGGTTAGTTATGGGAATAATAACATGTTCTTTTACATCAAAACCAATCCCCAGAATCAAATTTGTGGCCCACTAAACTGAAACGTGGGACCAGCATTGTGGGCCAGGGTAACCAATATTGTGGGATGGCGTAACAAGCACTACAACATAACTGTGGGTTAGAATTACCTTGGTCTCAATACCTTATTCCATACAAGTTCCATATTCTCTTTATGATATTGTTTTTCTGCTTGATTAGTGTTTTCAGTGATCTGGATGCTGAAAATGGAAGATATAAATAAATTATAAATGCTGCCAAGTCACGGTTCATTGATTTTCATGAAATATTTGAATCCAAGTAAAACTTAGTAATTATTCTTCGTGGATATTATTCAGCTATACGGCTTTGGATTTTTAACATTAATTTACAAATACTATAATGCCGTCAGTTTTCAATTAAATTCAACTTCGTACGTGCGAGTAATTCCAATCCCTGTGCGTTGCGAAGCCAATACCTGAGTCTAGTTCATACATGCCTATGACTTTACAATGCCGTAACAGGTTTCACCCAGTTATTTCTATCTAGACCTCCTGTATTAAAGGTTGCACACCCCATGCTATAATGTGTTCTTCTTAGCTTTTAGAATTGTCGCTCCAATATGCCTAATCCACTGGTTCTCAACCTTTTTGATGGAGTGGAACCCCATTGGAACATTCCATAGGCTCAAGGTACCCCAGTACAATACTTAACACTAATACTTGCAAAACATAGCAAAATTTAAAGTGTAGCAGGTCTGATAATAATGTTAAACCTAATAAAAAGTATATTTTGTTTTAAATACAAGTACAAGTATTCGATGTCATTCAAACAATATATAGGGTGTCCATAAAGTCGGGAAATTTTTTAAAATTGGAAGAAAATTTATCGATACCATATATTGTTTTGGCCCACACAGATGTACTAAATGAAGTAAAAATACTTAAACAATTACCGATTTGAAAAAAAAATGGTTAAGATATATTGAGAACTGACTTCACAACAAAATTGAAATTGTAAGGGGACTTCATGGACACTCTGTACATATATCATATAGACTGTCGCATTTGAATGTAAACTTTTGGAGCCGCCGCACTGAACTGGCCAAAACCTAGGATAAAAACCTTAATTTGCCATTTCTACGGGAAATAGGATTGTTCGTATTAGAACCATAAGGTATTCTGAAAGACTGAAACTTCAATTAAATGTTTATTAGTATAAATACATTCATTTTATAGTAAAACAATAGAATTTCCTCTCCCTGAGATTATGAAATAAATTGATAAGATCCACATACTTTTGGTGCTTAGTGAATTTCATCATCTGCTGTCTGTACTTAGTCATGATAAGTTCCAATGCGTTCTGGTGGTCGGTCAAACTTTGTCGCAATTCATCGTTTTCATGTTGTAGGGACCGAATTGCATTATTTTTTTGCTGAATATCTTGAAGATGAAAATGGGAATTGAGCAAATATGATTTTGTTTCCATCAGAACTATTATTTGAGATTTACATTTGATTATTATTTACAATTTTGGATCAATATTTATATTTTTTCTCTTCAAAACTTATACCTTTTAAAGCAAAGGCCTGCAACATTGTTTGTCGGTTAGCCATATACCCAACTTCATACAGTTAGCCGGACCACACAAAAAATTAGTTTATCCATGCGAAAAAGGCAAGAGAAGAAAATATGGCTGTTGCTCAGCCTTACAGTATTAAAGGCACCAACAAAACAGCAAAGATTTAACGCAGCGAAATGATGTATTTTTATCCACATGAGCGGTTTTTGGACATAAACTGTTGGATTCAGATTTTATGCTTGATGGGGAGAATCCGAGCGTTGACGAGGGCCACACTGAATGGCTTGGTGGGTCGGGTTGTGCCCCGCGGGCTGCCTATTGCGCACCCTTGATCTAAAGTAACAACTAATTTTAGACTAGTTCTTAATCAATTTCAAATTGAATTTTTCTGTTCATGCAGAGTTTGGTACAAAATAGAAAACGATCAGTTCATGTCCGGTAATATCGTACTGGCAAGTTAAGATAATAGAATAAATATTGCGTTACAAAATGAGCAAAGCTAGTACTATTTCTTGTAAAAATTTGTCGTACCTAAGACTAAAGTAGACCTTGGTCTGTGTCCAGCAACTTTGTTCAGTTCAATCAAATTTTCTTGATATGTGTTTCTTGCTTCCATCTCTTTCTTGAGAGTTGAAGCCTGTTCGGCAAGACTTTCAGCAGCGCTGTCATGATCCTGGGATAATAGTTGAAAATAAAAGACTAATCCCTCAAAAGTTAAAATGTATTGTTGTATGTTAGAAAGCACTGATTAGTTTTTTGATTGTTACAGTGTAGCTGTAAATGCTTGTTGTTTGTATTTAAAATATTTCTAATTTGACGAGGACATCATTAATGACGTGCACGACATTTTTATGATCCAAGCCTTGAAAATATTTTTAAGAGTCAAACCAGAAAATAAGATTGAAAATCACAGGTTAACTATTGTGTTTCCCTGAGAAGTTTAGAACAACTCAAAATACCACTTTTCCCAACCAAGGTGGAATTTCTTGATATGGACAGGAACTTTGTATTTGGTGTAGTATTACTTATTTTCTTTATTATTAGTATACCACTGATTTCATTAGCTATGACATTATGAACTACTTAAAGTTTAGAAAAAGCTGGAGTGTGACTTGTGCACAACAATAAGAATATATTAAAGCTAATTTACATATCAACATTACATAATATGGGATTAGTTAGCAAGTTTTTCTTATTTGCTTTAGATACATGGTATTTTAAACCTTTGAAAAAAAATTAATAAAACAATTAACTTTCCTAACCCTGGGATTTAAAAAAATGTTGATACTTTTGGTACTCGATAAACTTCATCATCTGTTGTCGGTACTTGGCCATGATAAGTTCCAATGCGTTCTGGTGATCGGTAAAATTTTGTCCCAATTTATTGTTTTCATGTTGGAGAGATCGGATCGCAATATATTCTTGCTACCTTGAAATTAAAAATGCAAATTTATTTACCACATGAGATTTTATGCAATTTATTTACAGTGCAATTTGGTACTCCTGTAGTATGCGAACCAAGAGGGCGGACACTAGAACATACTACAGGAGTACCTGCAATTTATTTCATGCAGAATGCAAAAACTTTTGATTTGATCAAGGTTTTTATTTCTGATCTCTAAGCAAGACAGTAGACAAGCACCCATGAAACATTCGCTTGATACTAGGCTGAATAGGGCTGACCTAGAAGTTCAAACCAGTCCATTATCGCAGTGTGTAATGTCTTGCTATTGCCTCATCTAACTAATCCCTACTTAGGATTAGCTCACTGGTGGGCCAATAATATGATAGCACCCCAAAAAAGTATATGAATGCAAGCTTTTCATATTCAAAATTTCAATATCCTGAATCAGACCCAACTATGATAGATTAGAGTAGGAAAAGTAAGGTTGGACAATAACAGTACAGAACCTAAAACAGGAGAAGGGAAAGAAATTCACATTAATTGCAAGGTTATTGATCCGAACAATTTACCGGGGGTAGTTGTTTCAGCCAAAACATTTTGGACAAATTTACTTTAAACCATTTAAATCTTATTTTGTTTTCATTGCATCAATTATTTAGTTTCAAGTGTTTGTCTTGGAATGTCACAATTACGAAGAGTGAAAACAAGAGTTAGAAATCTTGATATAAAACATCTTTCATACCCAAGACTAGAGTAGAGTCTGTGTCCAGCAGCTTTATTCATTTCAATCAAACTTTTTTTGATATGTGCTTCAGGCTGAGTTGAAAGCAGTTTAGGAAACCTCCATAGTCCTGGAATGGAGAGAATAATGATAAGAAATATATCTTGAACTTCTTGTTTTCAAACTCCCGACACAATCACCTTAATTGATACAAATCACGGCGCATTGAAATAAAAATATTGATTTGATTACAGTATCAACATTAAATTACGACAAGTCTTCAAGTACCGTACAAGTTTTACATTTCATGCACATTTGATCCATACTACCCAAAAACCAGGCTTGTCCATCGACCATCGGACATATTTTTTTGTCTCATCCCACCCCATGGGATTTCGATTGGTATACAATTCAATAAAAATTGTTATTTAGGTTTGGCGAAAAAAAAACTGTATTTAGATAGATAGTTTATTTCGAACTCCATAACAAACATAAATTAAAAATGGAGAGTTCTGGAGGGCAAGCAAAACCTATAAAAAAGTTTAAAACATGACAAGTATTTCATGTGCCTGCCCACCAGCACGCACACAAAAACACAAGCCCATTTAAATGGGGCTTGGGCCAAACTTAACAAACAAAATACACGATAGTGTTTTAAACTTTCGGGCTGTTGTACTATCAACAATTACGTTGATAATGACCCATACCTACAACCTCATGCAAAGATAATGTGGGGAGTGGAATGTAATAAATTTGCGACGATAGTCATCATACTCATGAAGCTATGAAAGCTTTAAAAAAAACCAAGCCATGAAAAACTACACTGATTGCTAGATTGGGCATTGCGGAAAAGGTGATAAGTGGTTTAATATACAAACAAACGCAAAACCATGGCGGCAAATTCGGTGTGCGGACACTCATAAAAGCAATTATCAGTGAAAACACTAATCACACGTGAGCAGGTCTGTAGCCTAATTGATACATTGACAAGGCCAACATTGTTAAAACAGTACCGGTATACACACAAAGAACAAATCGAAAATATGCTATTAAATGAATGTTTAAAAATGTTGCGCATTGATATGATCATAAGTTACACTACAAACTATTTACACATGTATAGTTGAATACCCAGTTCTGCAGTTAGTATTCAAGCAGAATTTTTAGAAATAGCAGTGTTTGCTGACAGTCCGAATTCAATATCATCCCCCTTGTCACAAAATAAAATATCTTAATTAATCCCTGATGTATTCATCTTTCGATTCTGTTATGATGTCCGTATTTCCATAATACTCTGTACCACAACCTGACAACCTACGTCTGCAAGTTGTAAACCTTCTTGCAGTAACAAATATTTTATATATTTTATCCAGCCTAGAACTATTAAAATAATATACCTTCAATCTTGTGACCAAATATCAAGCGTCAGCATGGATCTCATTACTTGATAACTTTTCTTCTGTTGGTACAGGTAGCCATACTAACAAGGAAGATGACAGCCTTTTGTATGTGTGTTATTTTCGTATTTCTCTGCCTTGACAGATATAAAATATTTTTCTAACAAATTCGCTTGCCAAGTTGATAATTTGGACAGTACCGTACCTACCGGTATTCTAAGAGATATCCGAAATATTCAAATTCTTAATTTTTTTTTTTTTAAAAAAAATTTTATTACTATATTCATATGCATTGTGTTTCATGTTGTGTTGTGTTGTGTGTTGGGTAATAATTTGAAGAACCAAAATACTCAATAGTATTGAACTTTCAGGCTGTTGTACTTTGACAATAAATAGCAAAATCTTAATAAACTGCAAAGAAAGTCAGAAGTCTCCGTGATAAGGGGTCCAGTGTAGTTTCGTACCTAAAGTACTTCTAGTGGGTGTAACATAACAATTTTTGCATATGTCAATCCTCACACTTTCAAAACAACCGAATATTCCATTTTAATACAACCAAATACCTCACACTTTCAAAACAACCAAATATTCCATTTTAATACAACCAAATACTTCACACTTTCAAAACAACCAAATATTCCATTTTAATACAACCAAACACCTCTCACTTTCAAAACAACCAAATATTCCATTTTAATACAACCAATAACCTCACTCTTTCAAAACAACCAAATATTCCATTTTAATACAACCAAACACCTCACACTTTCAAAACAACCAAATATTCCATTTTAATACAACCAAATACCTCACACTTTCAAAACAACCAAATATTCCATTTTAATACAACCAAAAACCTCACACTCTCAAAACAACCAAATATTCCATTTTAATACAACCAAATACCTCTCACTTTCAAAACAACCAAATATTCTATTTTAATACAACCAAATACCTCACACTTTCAAAGCAACCAAATATTCCATTTTAATACAACCAAACACCTCACACTTTCAAAACAACCAAATATTCCATTTTAATACAACCAAACACCTCACACTTTCAAAACAATCAAATCTTCCATCTTAATACAACCAAATACTTCACACTTTCAAAACAATCAAATCTTCCATTTTAATACAACCAAATACCTCACACTTTCAAAACAACCAAATATTCCATTTTAATACAACCAAATACTTCACACTTTCAAAACAATCAAATCTTCCATTTTAATACAACCAAATACCTCACACTTTCAAAACAACCAAATCTTCCATTTTAATACAACCAAATACCTCTCACTTTCAAAACAACCAAATATTCTATTTTAATACAACCAAATACCTCACACTTTCAAAGCAACCAAATATTCCATTTTAATACAACCAAACACCTCACACTTTCAAAACAACCAAATATTCCATTTTAATACAACCAAACACCTCACACTTTCAAAACAATCAAATCTTCCATCTTAATACAACCAAATACTTCACACTTTCAAAACAATCAAATCTTCCATTTTAATACAACCAAATACCTCACACTTTCAAAACAACCAAATATTCCATTTTAATACAACCAAACACCTCACACTTTCAAAACAACCAAATATTCCTTTTAATACAACCAAATACCTCACACTTTCAAAACAACCAAATATTCCTTTTAATACAACCAAATACCTCACACTTTCAAAACAACCAAATATTCCATTTTAATACAACCAAACACCTGTCACTTTCAAAACAACCAAATACTCATCCAATAATAAAATACTTAGTCATGGCGTACGATGGCCTCCCGCCGTACGATGGCCTTTACCAGTCCATGTCAGATATAGTGTTAGTTAGCCAATTATTTTATTCGCTTCAGATTCATGACATTCTAAAAAAAATATTAATAAAGCAATTAACTTTCCTCACCCTTGGATTATGAAAAATGTTGATACTTTTGGTGCTTTATAAACTTCTTCTGCTGTTTGTACTTGGTCATGATGAGTTCCAATGTGTTCTGATGGTCGGTCACACTCGCAAATCATCGTTTCCATGTTGGGGAGATCGGATCGCAATATTTTCTTCCTATTTTGAAATTAAAAATAGGAAGAAAATTTACCACATGGGATTTTATGAATTTATTTACAGTGC